AAAAAGAAACGCTTCTTGCTTTATTCCAACAGTTGACATATATGGCCTAGAGTTTATAAAAAGAACTAATAAATACATAAAAAACCATTGATAAAATATAGATGAGTGACGTATAAATGGGTGATTTACTTTATATATTGGTACCGTTTGAAAAAAAAGTTTTGAATCAATGTTTTGTCTCCCTCATTTCGGTACTAAATGGTAAAGAAGAACAGGAAACAAAAATTCTCGAATGCTACTATGAACACGGTGAAGATGCAGAGCTTCTAAACAACCGATATACGTAATCCGGAAGTCCTTTCTCACGTCATGAAATCGCTGCTAATCGATATAAACTAAGTGTGGCATATAGCTCGATAGATTTCGATGAGATGAATTCAATGATACATATTGCAACACAGTTGCGCATATATATCAGCTTTCAGCAGTAAAAATCCAGTTTCAAATCCTGAAACACGTTCTTAGAGGTTGTAACTGCTTATACCTGTAGCGCCACAGAAAAACGAAAGCTTTCTGACCATGTCATCGAAATCGGTAAAAAATTGGCGATTAATCGCGATATATCGAAACGATAATTGTGAGCTGAATCGCGATTAATCGTCGATTTTTCTCCGATATTCCAACGATTTTTGTGATAAATCGAGATTTCGAAATCGATTATCGCCTTTCTTTCTCTTATTTATAGGATTTATTTAGTGCACATAATTTCAATTTTTTCATAAATTCACTACATCTCATTATTGATTTATAGTGAACAATCATTTTTATTAAAAATCTCACTATATACATTATTTTTTATGAACACGATATACAAAAAAAAACATAAAATGAAAAATTGCGAATACAACAAGCAATTGTTCATAGTTAAATCAAAATACAATTAAAAATGAAAAAAATGAAAAGCTCATATGTAAAAANTTTTTAAACGACATTCGTTCATTAACTAAGATAGGAAATTAAACAAAAAAAGACAATAAAGATTGTGCGATGTGATGGATAGATCTAGCTCGACATTAGAAAGCAGCATAAAATGGTGATAATAAAGTTGCCACTATCAGTTATTACCATGTAAACAATATTACTTGAAAACAAATCCTTTAAAAGTACATGACAAATACCATAAACTAACTGCCAGCTTTATTGTTAAGATCCTTGAGTATCTTATACGTCCCAAACATTCACCTAAGCTGATAATATAAAACAAACAAAAACTGTCTCTAATTCTGGTAAAGAAATTTTCACTATCAAATGGTGATTCCGTCACGACCGTTCAACTAGACTCGAATGCTTAACTAAAAATGCGAAGCAACCCATCTGATAGGGCATTAAAAAGTAACGTTAGAGAACTTATTGGCAGAGTCAAAAAATCCTTGCTTAAGATAAAAAATGAATTATAAGATATTTTCGTGACGGAATCACACTGAGAAATGGACTAGTTTAGAAATGCGAATATCTTTTTTTGGGAAAGGGAAAAATCCAGGTCTTTCGACATGAAAATAGAGACCATTTAAATTACTTTTACATTGTATGATCGACGTTAGAAAAAGCATGTCTTCTTATACGAAAAACTAGACCAAAAACTAACGGCATATAATTTGGTCTTCATGGAGTTTGCAAGATATGTTGTTAACAACAGTTGTTTCTCGAAGTTAGGCATACCTGCGTATATAAAAAATCTGTTTTCCTACGCTGTCAACATTGCTCTACAACATGACCGTATTTGTTTTGTCCAACTGTGCCAGTTGATTTCGCCCACATCGGTTGACCGTTACGTGGACAGGTCGGGTACTAATTCACTCGATTTTGTACTTCTTCGTCAGTTCAACAATGATCTTTCGTTCTTCACGAATCGAACTACCGTATTATATGCACACAAATTTTCATCGTGAAAACGACTTACTGAATATGAATCAGTCAATGATATGATTTTGGGACAGAATATACATACAGAAAAGTAGCAATTTCATTCGCTCTCTTTCAGAAAGAGAAGCTATGCACCTTACAACATGCAGACCATTTTCTCTTATGTGTTTTGAAATCATGCAATTCAAAAGAAGAAATGTTTCACACGTCTAATATTGTATTCAATCCGAATATATTAAGTAAGTTTTCGTATGTCAAAAGCGGCATGATCCAACATCACTTATTCTCCCTTTTGCCTATCATCGAAGGAATCAAACTTCAATGTCATATTCAATTTTACGTTGTGTAAATGAAATGCTCCAGATAGAAAGAAGTGAAGAACGAAACAAATGTTTCTTTTAGACACGATCAAGTATTAATCGTTCTTTTTATTTTTTCATCTCAAACAGACAAAGATAAACAAGCGTCGCCTTCCGGCGATATAAGTAATGAGAGAAAAAAAAATCAGTTGCCATAATTTTCAATTCAAGTACTGCTCTTTTCGTTCCTTGTTCTTCGTCAGGGAGTGAGTGGCGAGACAGCCAATGCATTCAACGCTCTCACTCAAATAAATATGTTTTTATTTTAGTGTTTCGTACACATACCGAACAGTTGTCAACTGAATCGGGTAGGTAGAAGTCTTACATACTGTAAAAAAAAGGGTTTATAAGTTTGCAACGCTTGTGAAAGCGTCTGAAAGATATTCGTATATTCAAAACAGCTTTTTGGCTACATCAAATTCTCATAAAACTTCGCTTAATGGTCTTTGAATACATAAAAAGACGGTGTAAATTGGATGATGTATGTTGGTGCGACTTTAGAGATGACTAATAGCAACGTTGACACTCATATTCAAACCTTCAGATACTTGATTGGAAACGATGATTATTAAAATATCACAAGAATTAGACTCACTTTTCATAATACTCGAATCTCAAAATTGGTTAAAAAAAAATGTTCATTTCCAGTAACAGACTGATTCCATGAAACAAAAAAGAATACATAAAAAACTACGAACAATGTCTTTCTGAATTTCCATTGAAGAAAAAACTACTCAAAAATGTTTTCTGATTCGTAATATGATAAACTGTCGTGATAAAATTCTTCAGTAGTCTACTCTAATGAGGAACATCATAAGGTTTTTTTCTTCAATCTCAAACTAATCTAACTTTCAGCGGCGAATACAAAACCCGTCTACTTGTACCCTAGTATAATAAACCTTTTTGTTGTACTCATAAACCCTTTTTATTTTCATATACCTTTAGTTTCATAAACCCATAAACGGATTAGAACATTGTCATGAGACCTACAAGGCTTATGAAAATAGCAGTCAGGAGAAAGATTTAATGTTTTTCTCTTTTTTTTCTACCGTGCATGTCTACATCCACACTCACACAGAATGGAGAATTTTCGATAGACACGTGGATATTTAGTTTTACAGCACTCTAACGCACACAAAAATTGTTTTTTTTGCACATTGGAGCATACCCTTTTTGCTTTAAATTGCTTTTCAGAATTCAAAAGCTCTTAAAAATGAATTTTCAAAAAAATGCTTCATTTTTCCAGTAGCTCTTCTAGAAAACCACTTTTATTGAATATCGAAATAAAATTCTTTTCTATGTCTTAGCGGATGCAAGTAAGAGGTCTGAGTGGAAGAAAAATATATCATCACACAATTTAAGCGACCATCACTGCTCCTTGGCTCTTTTTTCGTGTAGCTGGCTAAAGCATTAAGTTTCTGTTGCAAATTCTAGATCCAACTTCCAGGCTATTTTTCATGCTTTTGTTATTTATACGCTTAAGAAACTAAAATTGATGCTAAAAACTAATCCAAAAAGACTAAAAGAGATAAAAATTCGAAATAACTATCTAAAAGTGTACTGTGGAAGAGGCTATACGGTACAGTGGACAATTTTAGGTGAATATGTTGGCTTGACATTGTTTTCCAATAAACACTTATTTTATTTGTATGAGTGTTACTCCTAACCCTAAGGAACGATCAAATGGGAAAGCAGCCGTTGTCAAAATATTTCTTTTTGTTTTTGAAAATCTACTCATGGAAAGCTTCGTAGCAAAAGAATTGGAAAAATATTTCTCTGTAAAGTAACAATAGTCCATATGGTTCGATATAGTTTCTTGCACAGATTCTGAATATGGTCTTTTATTACATATAAACATTTTTGAGTCGAGAAAAATATGAGATACTTGAAAAAACGTGACTTTTTCGATAGCTTTGTGTAGAGCTTAGGAACTTTAGTGCTAATTTATGGTACTTATGGTAATAGAGGACACATTGGAGGACATTCTGGCAAAGTTTGAATGATTTTCAATTTCGAATTTGACAGGAGTGTTCATTTTACTCATACAGTCATTGAGAAATCATAGTGAAGAATAAGAAAATTTTATACTCAGGAAAGATGACTGATAATTGAACATTTATTTTTATTAATCGGTAGCAGACATTATGTAAGTTTATAGTGTATATCGTTTTCGAATGCCATTACTCTTCTTAAACTTTATAGCAACACTTGTACTACCATTTAACAGTTCATGGTTTGAAGTATATGTAGCACTATTTGAATCTTGCCTACCTAAATTTCCCACTTTTGACGTGACGTTCACTTGGGTGCCCACTGCGCTAAACTGACAGCACTCAGCGAGTCATTCCCACATCCTACACCCACTTCCACATCCCATATTCACAGCATACCAGATACCTACACCTTGACAAAATAGTATCCATATTCACACATGCACACTCGTCACCATATCTACATCCTCACCAGCTTCTCCATCAGCATCACTAGCGTTGGAAACTTCAGCTGTTCCTTCTTACTCGAAAGTACTTTATCATATAAAAGGTGCATTACTACAAAGTTCTGTGTGGCTCGATGTGCTATTTACTACGTAATCAGACAACGTTACTTCATGTAACTAATTTCTATGAGAAAATCTAACAAGGACAATGCTCTTATACTTTTCAGATGCGAGTAAAGGATATAAAAAGGTATATTGGTATTGTCTATGGTCCCAGGAAATGGCGAAGAAAATCTTGCAATCGTGCTCTTATCACTTTATTTATAGTTTTCACAATCGTCATGTGGGTTAATGGAATGGGTATGTCGATGGAAAAAGGATCTACGAAATCTGTAAAAAATCGATCTCACATTGTCTTGGGCATTCTAGCAGATCGACAATTGATGAATACTCTCGTCAATGCTTCTCAACAAACATGGATACCTTCTGTTCCCTATGATCTCTTTTATTTTATTGGTCGACATCATGGACATCCTCCTCGATTTTCACGAAACTTGAATGTCGTCGAGTTACCCACAGAGGACAATGAATATCCACCAGTGAACAAAACATTTCATATGTGGACATATTTTTATACGCAACATTTATCTGACTATGACTATTTCATGGCTATTGATGCGGACACTTATGTGAATGTTGAAAATTTGAAAATAATGCTGAATGAGCTCAGATGTCACGATTGTTACGTTGGTTACCCAGCTATAGGAGAACCATACGAACGAAAAGGGTTAGGACTTCTTGCTCCATACTGTCTTGGGATGGGCTATGTGATTGCTCGCAAAACGCTTCTCCGATTTGCTTTACACATTGATATTTGTCGGCGATCAATTGTAGCAAACCATTCAGATACTGAGTTAGGACGATGTATTTATCGATACGCATCGGGCATATCATGTACTCGAGCTCAGATGCCCCTGGAAAGAGTTTTATACACAACGAATAGTCGAGGAGCTGTCGTCCCATTTAAACGCGATTCGCAAGGTCGACTTCTAATAGAATTCCCAAAAGCACCACCAACTCGTTTTTTCAATGCTGCACTTGTTCATCCGTTAAAAACATCTCATGCGTTTCATCAATTTCATCGTCAAGTTACATTGCAACTCCGACCAGTACTTCCACCAGCTTTCTTGCACGGAAGCTGTGTAGCTAATCCAGTCATTCAAAATGAAACCTATCCACAAAATCGATCTATAGCTGAATGTCGCTTGCAAATACCAAAACAATCTGCCTATAACCTAAGTTCTCTAAGTGCTTTTGTCATTACTTTGAGAAATTGTGAACTGCGTCTACAACGAACAATTCATAATTTTGAAAAACACAGCATTCATCTACAGCTTTTCCATGGAATATCAAACGTTTCTGTTCTGAAAACGACGAAATTAACCAAGGGTGAATGGAATCTTCGTTTGACAATGATACGTTTGATACAGACAGTAATCAATGCTAAGCTACAGCAAGTTCTTGTAGTTGAGGACGATGCTATTCCACACCGTCGCTTCGGTCAACTCTTGCAGGAGTTGATCAATGATCATCGATGCAAGGAATGCGTATCTGGAGGTATCTTGATGCTTGGGTCAACGACATGGTTTCCTGGTTGGAGGACTCTTGATAGATATAAAAAAGTCGAAAATGGGACGTGTCGCAATATATGCACACAGGACTACGGATCTTTTGCTGTTCTACTTCATCAAGCCACATTCCAACCGATCCTTGCTTGGTTAAAGGCAGAGAGCATGCCACAACCTTACGATTACATATTTGCTCATCTTTCTCGTCTTGGTTATCCTGTAAGACTTACTTTTCCGAATCTTGTCATCACTGATGTAAGACATGATTCAGCAATTCTACATCGTCCTCTCAACAGTTCTTTTCATAATCTAGGAAGGCGCGCAAAAATTCATCGTTGGACAATTGAGAATTACATGATTTCATCTTCGGATGCAATCTGTTGATGCCTGATACAGTTCGATATTGTCAAAAGTCAATCATTTCGGTTTCATGAACATCCAACTTTAACATATCAGCTTATACATCTAGGATAGGGGAATATCTGCATCGAGCAATGTTCAGGTCGGAAGATCAGAGAGTAAGATTGGTGATCGAGTCTTGTACGTTCGCATCAGATCTTAATTCAAGATTATGCTTGATCTTACAAGACCCTACAAGAAATCGTAGGCAAAATCGCGTTATCAGAAATTTGACATGAAATCACATATTAAGCTGCGCATAAGATCCGCTAATATGACCGTATATACTCATAAAAAATCGTACTGTTGCATTTCACTCTATTTTCTAGATGCGTTAAAATAATTCACAACTCCTTTGAGCACTATTCAATAAAAGTAGTGACGTAACTCGAATGGTGATGACTCGTTAGTGATGGGGGAGGAACCGCAGAAGGTGGAGCCACTCTTTTTGTTTTAATTTTTAACTAGATGTTATGTAGATCTAAATTTTTACCAGATATAATACATGTTAGGGCTAGCTTATGATAAAATTTTCAGGTATTCGTAAGATTTACTGAAGAAGTTAAAAGAAAAAACAGAGTGGAGACACTTTCTACCACCCTTTCCCCTCCTCGGTTCATTACTAAAGGATCGGCACTATTCTAGTTACGCCACTAAATCAGAGTGATTACAATCGTTAGTTCAAGTTTAATATACAATGAATATGTATTGATGGCCGTTATTGAAGGTCATTGTACGTAACTCTATGCAATCCTACGCTTTCGTCTACAGCCTTATAGATATACCTCTATAACGATATCTTTACATTAATAACATTATATCTATATTCTTATAATTATACTCTTGTAGCTGTTAGATTTTATCTTATATTCTTAAAAAAATACTTTTAAACCTACATATTGAAACCTATACTCTAAAGACTTGTATCTCCACGGCTGCCCTCTTAGATCTATACTAGAATGTCTGTATTCTTGTGGGAACACCTTTTTGCCCATATTCTAATCGTTAAAAGCTTATTCTTCACTCGTAAAATCGTTTTCATTCTGCTTCTACTAACGTCGTTTTATTTACATACTCGCTCTGATGTCTATTCTTCTTGCTGGTAACCTTCAATAACTTTATTGTTTCAGATTTTACCGTTGTACTATCATGTTGTTTTTTCGATGCATAATTATGTATTCACGTCTCTTTTTAATTATTATATGTGTCGTTTAGTGTTACGCATCTGTACCTAAACCAATACTTACTTATTTTACAAAATTGTCTTCTACTTGGGTATTTATATAATTTATACATAATGAGATAAATATATTTCTGGCGTTATAACAAAAGCAACTGGTTTTAGCTTAACAAATCGCGGTTCTAAAAGAGATCGAGGGAAATTGATCGGCACACATTTTCAGACGGACTTTCACATTCGACCTTGAACGATCGGTTAAGATTCAGATTCTAAGATCTAATGTGTTTTATTGATAATAGAACTTATATGATCTTATTTTATCAGGTTGGTGTCACAGTAGCTGTTCTTACAAATTGCATATCTTTGGATTTTTGCAGATTTCCACTTGAATATATTCAGAATCATTCAAAATTATGCAATACTGTTGAGAGTACGATAAAACGTCCGACTTTTTTGACCTGCGTGAATCTTTTTGAACAACATGATTTTCAGAGATTTAGTTATATTGGAACTAGTACTGAACTTCAATATCAATAGTGAATATACCTCGTTTCGATGATTATTAATCTGACGATATACATTCGAGAAGACGTTGCCAAATGACAAAGTTCCAATAAACTGGGCCACTGTTCATAGTTGCTGAGAATTAATCATAGATTGTATTAAATGGTGAAAGATGAGGAGAGGATAGGAACGAACTTTGCTAATAAACAATAGTAGTGATATGCATCTAATAGTCGTTATTCCTACACCTTCATCATAAGCAACCGATATTGCCAGAAGTGAGTTTTTACTTGTTGTACGCCATATAGACAGATCTGCTAGAGAATATTCATGTAATTGACTAAGGAACTTCATTGACTGATGTTAACTAAGAGGAGAGAATCTGTGTTGATTACAAATCGTACATCCATCATGTATGAACCGATCAGCTGTTCGATCATTCCATGAACGTAAATTGATTGCTGTCATTAAGAATTCAACTTCAGGTTCGACACATAACAGAAAGTTATCCGCACGAAAAGGTGAGACTTTAAGTATGTTAATGGAAAATATCCATGATACTGCAGAGAATAATGCTGTACAGATTAGCACTATTGTCTTTCCTGCCAAGAGAGACATCGAGTCTTAAACAAATAATCGATACATTGCAATATAGTGTGATTTATTTTTGACATGTACACGTCGCTGAGAGACTGCAAATAAACGATAGTAGGCTAAAGATAGGGTTGCAACGAAATCTGAAGATCAATACGGAATTAAATAATGGCTTGCAATTATTCTTCTATTTTTCTCAAATGATGAAGTGATATGTTACATGAATCACTTCGATTGTCAAGCAGAGTTGAGTCGTCTGTTTGAGTGATGTTGTTCTTCAGCATTCCACTTCGGTTAATAGCGTATACATCTTCTTTTTTTCGTTTGTTGACGGTCAAATAAACGAAGAAAACTATGGAACATCGAAAGCCATTGAAAATCGCTGAATAGACAACACCAGGAAAAACGTGGTAACAGAATATTCCAAGGATTGTCACCACTCATCTAAAATATGACTATATGATGATCATTTGCTATTGATGCTTCTCAATCGTCTTTCACAAGTAAATCGAGACAAATATTGGGCTGGAGAGTGTGAGTAAGAAATTCGTCTTCAAACAAATCGACACCCGTACTCATACCCAACGATATCAGAGGTATTCAAGTATTGATCAATCACTTCGCTTTTCAATGGAAACAAGCACTTTTCCATGTTGACACAAACTCGCCCTCACCTAGCTACAGCAAACATAGCTCTGTACAACAACAAGTGCAAGCATTGTGTAAAATGAAAATGTACCCGAAAACGTAAATTCACGAAAAGCGTTCAGCTCAGTCAATATGGATACCACCTATTAAATAAGCTGTTGCGCCGTTTTGAAGAATTTAGTTGCGTCCAGTAGAGCTTCTAATGGGCTGAACAGAGGCTATGAGAGTCGACCTATGATTTAGCAATTTCGAACCAGTCCATCCCATGGTTTGTTCTTCAGAAATTTTCTACACCAACGCAGTCTATAGAGCGGATAATCCATCGGCACTGATGAACCATTCATCTACTGGACTATTTTCCTAAAAAATAGTTACTTTGCTGCGCTGGTACCTCATTCTTGATTAATCGATAGCTGGCTTTAAAAAAGTCAACGTTAATATTTAAATAAGTTATTTCGAGTTGGTTAAATTTACAAATATATGGATTGATAGAACAGTCTGCTTTACAAAATCCACTAACTAAATTACAAAACTGTGCAATATATTTTAAGACACTTTCTACAGATTGACTCTGTGGTACTACTATTTACGGTAGACCACTAGTATAAAGCAGATCGAATTTTTGCTAATGTGTGGAGTATAATAACCGGTAAAAATGTTTGTCTCTTTTTAGGACACTTTCCAACACGACACAGACATCGTTTTTGGCGCATCCGATTAACAGTTCCCTGCTCTACAAAGCTACTGTCTTTGCTTGTCAAATAACTCCTTTTTCTCGTCGATGCAAAATTTAAAAGATGAATATCTATTCAATCATCTGACTGGCATAGTCGAAGCACATTAACAGCACGAAAAATTTTTCAAGAAGATTCAGCTAATATTTCAAATATACGCAAAGTACTCCAAAAGTTCTATATTTCTTGATATATATTTCAGGAATTTAAAAGAAATACATGAGAGAAAACGTCTTGAAGTAAAAAATGTCAGAAAAACCTAGAAAACACTTTTCTGACAGAATGATGTCATTATTCTTTTTTAATTCGACATGACATTATGTTACTACTTTTCAATTTAACAATCTTACTATTATGCTCAAAATTTAATTCTGCATCCGGTGGCATCACAACAAACGTGTCATAAACCATCTGAACAATAGTAGCAGATATCTTGAAAATATTGTGAAAGTAGAGAGCCAAAAATTCTCTGTCCATGAATGTCAAGTAGTTTACTTTTAGCACCGACCCTATTGAGCTAAGACTTACACGAACCGAGAGATACCTACAGAAAACCAGAAACTGCAATGAGACGAGTGACTGGATGCGCACCTTTTAAATTTTGTGCCTACAGAAAAAAAAGTTATTTGAAAAACAAAACCGATAATTTTATAGAGCTGAAAATTCTCTATCGAATGATCCTTAATGGAAGTTTCTGTTGTGTTGGTAAGTGCTCTAAAGAAAGGAAAACATTTTATCCCATTCATTATACACTACGTATTAGATCAACAAAAATTAAAACTGACATATAAGAAAATGCGTCAGATCTAACAAAATAAGACTATGTAATCAGGATTAATTTTCATCGGTTCAATATCAAGAAAGAAAAGGCCATCAAATCTGGTAAATTTTTCAATTTTTTGGATTTTTACGAATTATCACAGTTTCCGGCTTTACTTGAGCGCCCTATATGTCCTTGAAGGAATGGCATTGTAAGCTGGATTTTTCTTACTGTAGATGTGACTCATCGAGCTCTACAATATAGAATAATTGTCGATCAGCTTGAAGAACTCATGTGCTTTCATGGTAGAAATTTTGTGGAAAAGACCACAACAGTTTCATTCAAACTGAAAGCGAATCAGTCGAATAAAGCTCAATTACTCTTTTTCTCTGTCACCTCAAATGCTGGATTGAAGATATCAAACTTTTCTTTTAGGTAGTTGTAAGAGTGATTGGTTGTTAGCTTTCACCTTTTGTATATAGTAGATAATACATGATCAAGCATTAAACTTATTACTGTCTTTTGTTTTCTCATTGCATGCCTACCTGTAGTATTTCTTTCTGTC